TGTTTGTGCTTCACTTGTGAACACTGTATGTGGATGTGAGAATATGCCTATACGCGTAAAACATGCCCTGCTGTTAACGCCACATCGAATTTACAGTTTTTAACTAATTCTTATCACAGATCAACAAAACAGCAAACACCCTATTTAAATAAGGGGATTGTTTGTTGTTGAACGTTGTTAATAACCATAACCTAGACATCTGTTGAATACACCTAGTCAGTTTGTATGTTACCTGTATGTTTCGCTGCTGCCTTTCGCATGCAAACGTTTAGCGTGGTTTTCTGAACCTCAGGATTTATGCGTATTGGTCACACTTGGGTTAATTTACGTTGAGTTGTTTTCTCTCGAAACATTGAGCTGAGAACATCAGCCTATCCCTGACTGTGTTACAGTTGGCCTATTTCATCAAGTCCTCTGACTGGTTTCTATGACCATAGAGGAGTAACTGTTTAGCAGTTAGCAAAAGCAAATTAAACTATCAATGAAAAATATTTTGTCGAGAGAATAAAATCTCCCGTATTATGCATACACTAACTGCAACATATTATCATTCAAAAAGGTGCTTATCATTAATTAATTTCTATCATTTAATTTACTCAGAGGCTTTCAGACAGCGTCGCTCTATCCGTTTTGCGCACTATTTGAAACCTCAAAGGTTACTACGAAAGTAGGAGATACGTTTTGGTAATATTCAGCTTGGTGTTGCAGACATTTTGTACGATGGATTGCTGAAACTATTTCTGAACTGATTAATCGAAATGACTACAGAAACCTCGCAAATGAGGTTTTGCATGTGGAATAGATCAGACCCGTTACCAAACAGTTCAGACCAACGGTAGTCTATGGTATACGATGCAGTAATAGGGTATTAGTTTGTCCGTGTAATACGTATGTGAAGTGCAGGATATCAATTCGTTGTATAGTTGTAACAATTTATAAATGCACATAATGCTTGGACTAACGGCAATAATTGTAGGCAATTCTCGTAGTTGAATTCTTCGAAGTGGATATATCCTTGCTTATTCTATTATCAGAGGTATTAGGACTCATAAGTAGCAGGAATAGATTGTGCAACTTATGTAGCTAAAATTCGTTATATTCTTTCTGTTATTAGCTAACCCTGTCGATGTATTCACTCCCCCACATGACAGTGTTCACTTTCCACCTAAATTAGACTGAACAAAGCACATTTTGATCTGTAGTCATGTAATAATAGTCTCGCAGTTTGTTCAGTTCACATTTGGATTTGCTGCTTTGAGAGTAATGAAAGAAGGTGTAAAAGTACATTCATAAATTATAGCATATTTGGTATGGCATTAAGTTTCCTGTACTCTAAATGCGCAACGACATTAATTTAATGATGGTGGCCTTCTTTTTATATGGATTAATTTACTTGTTACCTACGGACAATGCATCAAGTTCTGTTTGTTTACTCTCATGAAATGAAGATAGTGAAACTCTCTTATGCCGTTCTAGATGATTTACTGAACGATATAAGCTCTAACTTTAATAGGTTTTAAGGCACAGTGTAAAAGTTCTTTTTAGATAACATTTAGTTGTTTCGTTAGGAATATGAAATCAGTTGTTGGTGTAGTGTTCGAGGTCTCACCATTCCCGGTACTTGATAGAATTTTATGTCCAGTTTTATCAAATTTCGTTGCATCAGTTGCTGGGTTGTTACTTGTTACGTCTCCTGTGAAATTCTGTACCTCATATGTGGCAAATGTTTTGCCTCATTTTAAATTGATTGGTATTCAGATATGTTCATGATTGAAAGTAAAACCTTTTAGAACACGATTTACCGCGCCAGTCTAATACATAAATTGTATTTAAAATGAAATCTGTTAACAGGCAACTGTTAACCAGGAATCACCTATTCGTTCGATTAGAATGCGACAGCCCATC